CTCGCCGAGCACTCGCCTGACAATGTCGGTCGCGGGCCCTTTGGGCATCATCTCGACCTTCTCGCCGACCACGGCGTCGTGCGTCTTGGCCTCGTCGAGCAACTCCGCTCGGAAGCTCGGCAAAATCTTGAACGGCGTCTCGACGCTCTTGTCTGCGTCGTCGAAGGCGTTGAACGTCTCGCCGCTCCGCTCGATGTGCGTCTTGAAGAAGATCGCGCAGAAGAGCTCGCTTCGGCGCCGATCCCTGCCTCGGAAGATGCCCTCGTACTTGATCCCCTCGAGGCTTCCGTTCTTGAGGGCACTCGCCAACGCGGCGCCTCGAATATTCTCGTGGTACAGCGCGGGGCTCCCTCGACACCACATCCCCAACATTCTCGAAGCGTCGGTTGCCTCGCCGCTGGCTTGGCATTGGCGCATCTCGGCGCACCCCGCCTTCTCGGCGATGTACGCGAGGCTCTGGTTCTGCAAGTCGGCAAGCTTGCTCTGCTCCTCGAGGAGCTTGGTAACTCCTTGGAGGAGCTTGTTGTTCTGCTCGAGCAGGGCGATGACTTGGCTGTCCTCGGTCATCTGCGGGCTCGAGGGCTTGGACACCGCCATGGCGAAGCTGAAGCTCGAAAGCTCGGAAGGCTCGAGAACTCGAAAAGCTCGAACGCTCGAGCCAGAACGGTCGCGGGCGGGAGCAGGAGAATTGCTCGCTTCGCTGGAGACATCCTCGAAAACGTGCCCGTTCCGCTCGAGACATCCTCGAACAAATCTCTCGTTTCGCATCAGACATCCTCGACAAATCTCCCGCTTTGCTTGAGACATCCTCGTATACTTGTTTCGCTTGAGACATCCTCGACGAATCGCTCGTTTCGCTTGAGACATCCTCACAGAATCTCTCAATTCGCTTGAGACATCCTCGAGCGATTGCTGTTTTCGCTTGAGACACCCTTAAGAAACGCATCGTTTCGCTTGAGACATCCTTCAGTATATGCTTGTTTCGCTTGAGACATCCTCGAGTATATGCTTGTTTCGCTTGAGACATCCTCGACAAGCTTCTCGGATCGCTCGAGACATCCTCGAGTATATGCTTGTTTCGCTTGAGACATCCTCGACAAGCTTCTCTCGAATCGCTTGAAACATCCTCACAGAATTGCTGGTTTCGCTTGAGACATCCTCGAAACATTGCTCGTTTCGTTTGAGTCTGCCTCCCAAAATTCTTGGTATCGCTTGACACATCCTCACAGAATTGCTGTTTCGCTTGGGACATCCTTAAGAAACGTATCGTTTCGCTTGAGACATCCTCGAGTTGTTTCGCTTGATATGCTTGTTTCGCTTGAGACATCCTCGACAAGCTTCTCGAATCGCTTGAGACATCCTCTCAGAATTGCTGGTTTCGCTTGAGACATCCTCGAAACATTGCTCGTTTCGTTTGAGTCCGCCTCCCACAATTCTTGGTATCGCTTGACACATCCTCACAGAATTGCTGTTTTCGCTTGAGACATCCTTAAGAAACGTATCGTTTCGCTTGAGACATCCTTCAGTATATGCTTGTCTCGCTTGAGACATTATGCTTGTTTCGCTTGAGACATCCTCGGCAAGCTTCTCGAATCGCTTGAGACATCCTCACAGAATTGCTGGTTTCGCTTGAGACATCCTCGAAACATTGCTCGTTTCGTTTGAGTCTGCCTCCCAAAATTCTTGGTTTCGCTTGACACATCCTCACAGAATTGCTGTTTTCGCTTGAGACATCCTTAAGAAACGTATCGTTTCGCTTGAGACATCCTTCAGTATATGCTTGTTTCGCTTGAGACATCCTCGAGTATATGCTTGTTTCGCTTGAGACATCCTCGACAAGCTTCTCGAATCACTTGAGACATCCTCGAGTATATGCTTGTTTCGCTTGAGACATCCTCGACAAGCTTCTCGAATCGTTTGAGACATCCTCGACAAGAATCGTTTGAGACATCCTCGCACCACCAGCCCTTTACGGCGTAGGTGGTCTAGGGAATTTCCTCTGCCAACCCCCTTCTTCCCCTTCGGGGAGGGGTTTACCCCTCCCCTTACCCCTCCCCACTGACCTGGACGGGGCCGGTCGCGAGGTGTCAGAGCGTCCAAAATGGCCCAAGACAGCTCCAAGAGCGAACAGGCGAGAAAACACAAAACATTGATTTTACCTAGGTTTTGGACAGATTTTGGCATTTGGGGGGGCCCAAGAGGCGACTCGAGGCACTCTGGAGGGGCGGGGCTAATAAGCACCCCCCCCTTTTTTGATAGATCTCCTCCAAGATGGCCCAAAGAGCGCCCCGAAGGCTCCCAAGAGCGCCCCAAGAGCGCCCCAAGAGGGCCCCAAGAGACCCCAAGAGGCCCCCAAGAAGCCTCCAAGAGGCTGCCAAGAGACCCCCAAGAGGCCCCAAGAGAGTCCAAGATGGCCCAAGACGGCTCCAAGAGCGAAAAGGCGAGAAAACAGAAAACATTGATTTTATCTAGGTTTTGGAAGGATTTTGGCCTCTTGGGGGGCCCAAGAGGCGACTCGAGGCACTCTAGAGGGGCAACGCTAATTGGGGACCCCCTCTTCTCTGATCGATCTCCTGCAAGATGGCCCCAAGAGCGCCCCGAAGGCTCCCAAGAGCGCCCCAAGAGCGCCCCGAGAGCGCCCCAAGAGGCCCCAAGAGGCGCCCAAGAGGCCTCCAAAAGGCTCCCAAGAGACCCCCAAGAGGCCCAAGAGGCTCCCAAGACGGGTCCAAGAGCGAAAAGGCGAGAAAACAAAAAACATTGATTTTACCTAGGTTTTGGAAGGATTTTGGCCTCTTGGGGGGGCCCAAGAGGCGACTCGAGGCACTCTAGAGGGGCAGCGCTAATTGGGGACCCCCCCCTTCTTTGATAGATCTCCTCCAAGATGGCCCCAAGAGCGCCTCGAAGGCTCCCAAGAGCGCCCCAAGAGCGCCCCAAGAGGGCCCCAAGAGGCCCCAAGAGGCCCCCAAGAGGCCTCCAAGAGGCCCCCAAGAGACCCCCAAGAGGCCACAAGAGGCTCCCCGAGATACGCAAGAGGCCCCCGGGACCGCCAAGAGGCCCCAAGGACGGCCCAAGAGGCCCCCAAGCTCGCAATTGTCCTCCTCCTCCTCCTCCTCCTCCTCCTTTCTTCCTCCTCCCTCCTCCCCCTCCCCCTCCTCCTCCTCCTCCTCCTCCTCCTCCTTCTCCTTTTCCTCCTTCTCGTCCTCCTCGTCCTCGCAGTCCTCCATCTCCTCCTCCTTCTATTCCTCCTCCTCCTCCTCCTCCTGCTCCTCCTCCTGCTCCTCCTCTTCCTCCTCCTACTCCGACGACGACGGCTCCTCCTACATCCTCCCCCTCTTGGGGCATATGGCGGCTCACCCCGCCCTTTGTTCTTCTGCATGCTCCCCCGCTTCCCTCATAACCTCCACTCCCCTGGGACTCATTTCTGGACGGGCTGGTGGGGATACGCGAAGCGTCTAGAATTGCTGGTTTCGCTGGAGACATCCTTGAAACATTGCTCGTTTCGTTTGAGCCTGCCTCCCAAAATTCTTGGGTTCGCTTGAGACATCCTCACAGAATTGTTGTTTTCGCTTGAGACATCCTTAAGAAACGTATCGTTTCGCTTGAGACATCCTTCAGTATATGCTTGTTTCGCTTGAGACATCCTCGAGTATATGCTTGTTTCGCTTGAGATATCCTCGACAAGCTTCTCGAATCGCTCGAGACATCCTCGAGTATATGCTTGTTTCGCTTGAGACATCCTCGACAAGCTTCTCGAGTCGCTTGAGACATCCTCACAGAATTACTGGTTTCGCTTGAGACATCCTTGAAACATTGCTCGTTTCGTTTGAGCCTGCCTCCCAAAATTCTTGGTTTCGCTTGAGACATCCTGAAAAAAGTGTGATCGCTTCGCTTGATGTTGCTATTTCAACATAACTTGATCTTGCTATCTCAACATAACGTTCCGAGGTGATAATGAAGTTTGGCCTCCGCGCCCCGCGCCCCCGACCAAACTCTTTTTGGTCGACGATAAAAAACTCTAACGACTTAAGGGGGGGGTAACATTATTATCGTGGGCGTGGGGTTAATTCAGAAGGCCCCAAGACAACTCAAGAGGCCGCCAAGAGCCTCAAGATGGCCCAAGAAGACTCCACGACGACCCACGAGGCATCTGAGACGGCGACGGCCCAAAAGGGCCTCGAGGATCCCACGCAAGCATCCAAAGGCCCGAAGACAGCCCAAGAGAACGTCCGGAAGCAACCAATACGGCCTTAGAAGGCTCTTCGACGGCACAAGACGGCTCACGACGGCACAAGACACCCCTGATAAGGCCAACAGGGCCCAAAGAAAGCCCAAGCCAGCCCCAAGACGGCCTCAAGGGACCCCAAGACTGCCCCACAGGAGGCCAAGACAGCCACAAGAGAGCTCATATGAGCTCCATGAGAGCTCCTTAAGAAGTGAAGACGAAAGGTCCCGAGCTAGCAGGGAGATGAGGCGAGAGTGACTGGAAGAGGGAGTGTACTCACTCGAGGGATAGCACCAGCCGCCCTCGTCCTCCTAATCCTCCTCCTCCTCCTCCTCCTCCTCCTCCTCCTCCTCCTCCTCAGCGTCGTCATCGTCATCCTCATCATCCTTGTAATCATCATCATAACTCTCCCAAAACCTCGATATACGAGGTGTCACACGTAACGGCCTCCCGTGCCCCCCTCGAACAATCAACACCCACAATGCTGAGCTGGCCGGTGGCGGGACTTGCCGCAAGCAGCTGGATACGGATACTCCGACCTGCGCGAGCATGCAGCAAGCTCGGAACACCCATCCCTCGTATCGTCGCCCCCCTGGCCCATATCGTGGAACGAGTGGAGCCTGGCTACACGCCCACGTGGCGTGAATATACACGATGCGTCGCGATTTATTTTTCGCAACGTCTGCCAGGGCCGCCAGAAAGGAAAGATAGTTCTGACACCAGCGGGGATCATCCGCCACTGTGCATTGAGCACGCTGTGGAGTGCCACAAGGTTCGT